CGGAAGATTATAGCATACACCGGACTTTCTTCTCTCGCCGGCGTGAAACTCGCTCGCCGCGTCGCACGTTTCATCGTTTGCGCGGATAATAAGCGGATAAGACGGAATTTCCAGAAAATCTTGTGCATTTATCTCGCTTCTTATTTCCTTACCTTATCGATTTCATATTTCAATCTATACGGATTAATTATAGTAATAACGGTATAACGCCAATAATATACATATATTCGATTTTCCAAGATAGTAATATGCTTAGAACAGGATGCTTAGAGCAGGATGCGTTTCCTATATAAAATTTCTCGCATAGGTATCTATCCGTTCTCTTCTCATCGGGTATATGAGTTTCCTGTGTCGCGTGATCGCCGCAGAAACATCTGCGAGATGTCTGCCAGAATGTTGCGCGGTCGCTTTTCGCTCGCTATAATTCATCTAGTCCTTTGTTAGAAATTCTACCGTCTATTCTAGATATTCATTTGCACAAAATTACATTATATATTATAGATTAAAGTATGTATATATAAATGACTTATGCACATGTGAGTGATTCTTTTATACGAGAAATGAAAAGTTTCAAGTTAATCATTTCTTGAATGATTTAAATAATTTCTTAATAGATACTCTTCTAGTTTTAATCGTATATACTTGCTATTATAATTTTTTTATTTATTAATCATGATAATTACATCATTTTATTAAGAAAATAATAATTACATGTAATAAAAATATTTTACAATGCTAAAATTTTCTTTTAATGTCTCGCCGAATTTTTGCAAAAAATTCACATAATGCTTTTGTAAAGCATTCGCAATTATTCCACGTCTTAAAATAATATAAAATAATAAATAATGAGATATAAGAGTACTCATTGGGAACACAAATGAACCATTTGCGTAATTCATTTATCTTATAAGAGAATGTTAATCTGTTCATTAGCCGAGAGCGTCGAGAGTAAGCTGTTGCGAGAAAGCGGCGATAGATTCAAAGACATTCTCCTTCATCGATCATGATCACGATATCGGCAGCTCGTAGCCACATTTCCTTTTACTCTCACCGACTACGCAAAATCCTTCTTTCGTTTTCGTATAAAAAGCTCGGGAAAATAATATCACGCTAATATAAAAAGAATTTAATATAATAAAATTATCTATAAGTCAAAGTATTAAAAAGAAAAACGATAATCATAGGATCCGTGTAATTTAATTAGCAATCTAATAAAATAATCATCTCATCAAATTATACATATCCGCCTTATATAGATATCTTATTTTACACTTTATGCACATACTTGAAATTTTTAACATTGCATTAAAAATACATTATTAAATTTCCAAATTTCATAAAATTTAGATGTATTTCTTTCAACACGCAAATATATCATTATCAATTTCTTTTCGGCACAAAATCTTTCTTTCAATATTCCTAGAATATTATAGACAGATTATACTCTGCAATCGTATTTGTAATTCGCATTACAAAACTGACTAATGCAGCGCGATGCGAGGTAGAAATGTAATAATCCACGTATTTCCATCGACCGGAGAATCGCGCTAGGGTGTTTAATCGTGAATAATCTGTTTCGTGAAAATAGAAATGTCTGCGTTTTCCGCCTCGGCTCTACCGCGCTCGGTTGAGTGAATTTTCTTTTCTCGGGCTCTCTCTATACGGCAACGCGAAGCAACGTCTACTTTATCCATGCCTCGCAATACGTGTACATGCATGTGCGACGCGCAGGCAGCTGCGCGATTTTTTACGTTTTCTAATATAAACGAGCCGACTGGATCGCGACGAAAATTGGACGCTGCTGTGCCAGGCGGCGAGATGAATTCGCGTCGGCCACGTTGGCAATTGCGATACTGCTAAATACGTCGCTCTGCGACACGATCATATATCATAATTTACAGCAAACTCTGCACTTGCGTGAAGCGCGTTTCGCGAAAAGCGTCAGATACCCGAGATACATTTGTATGATCGCAGAATCCTACTTATGTTACAAAGGAGAAAAAAATTAATTAATAATTTTTATCGATACATTCTCGCAGTTATCTTATTATAGCATTTTCCATAAGTTCTAATCTCTACACTGAGAAAAAAAAGTTGTTAACTTGACCAAACCATTCAACTAAATTATTATTTTTTAATTGAATTATTTAAATTAAATAAATACATATTAAATCTAACATGACATCTATTTAACTTAAATATTTAAATATTTCAATTTACTTGAACGGTTTGGTCAAGTTAACAACTTTTTTTTCTCAGTGTATCTAATCGAAAGGCAGAATCTATTGTACTATTAATATTCACCCATCCACAATTTCTGTTCCTCGAAACAACGCGCGAATCCTCGTCGCTTCCTCGAGGAAATACGTATCGACATGTATGATCGTGGAACGTATCCCAACGCAAGTCCTCGGTCTTCCCTTACTCTCGTCTCTACCCTGGTTTCCAACCGGAGCGACAGAAGCGAGCGATGCGGCGCATCGCGGCATTCGCAATTCATAGCGGCGCGAAATGATTACGAGGGATGAGGAGAAACGTTGGCGTATGGATCGGGCTTTAGAGGATCTCTTTGTGCTACGCTACGAGGACCGGAGGGTCCGTCTTCTTCCTTCTCCTCCGGACGGTCTGTGATACCTTCCCGACCGCCCCCGCGCTCTGCCTTCCCCTGTTTTCCCCTGCCGAGCCGTCCTGTCTTTACGACGAGTCATCTCGTTTAGGTCGCGCTGGTGGCAACGGTGGCGGTGAGGAGAGCCGGGTGATGCTGCGGGGGAGAGGGTGGCGAGAGGAAAGGGCCGATGAGCCAAGGAACGAACGAGTGGTAGAGTCGAGAAGAGGGGACAGGGTCGAGGGAGAGTAGCTGCGGGACAGAAGGATATATGGCTGTGTATTATGTACTTGGACCCGCGCGTTATATACGCCTTCGTCATCTTCCACATAGAGAGAAGGAGAGCAGGTGTATGCATGTACATCAGTGCGTTTATATCGATGTGCGTGCGAGAATCTCTCTTTCTTTTTCTCTTAGTATATATATATATATATATATATATATATATATATATATAATCTGTGTGTATGTGTGTATGTATATGTATGCGCGAAGGTTCACTTCGCACGCAAGCGAAGTTCTCTAACCAACTCGAATCGAGGATGTGGTGGACCTGGAATCACGCGAGCCGCGTAAAAATGATTTCTGGTCGCGTACAACGTGAGGAGAAAGAGGGAGGATTCTCCTGAGATCGCAGCAAGAATTTACCGATATAGACGAATAAACGAAGGGGAAATTCCATGCGCAAGATATTTTCTCGATGATGAATATCTTCGGGGAAATGTTATATGGTGTTACATAATATTGTCGCAGAGATATATTGCCGATTACGTACATAATTGAAACACTGAGGATATCTATCTAAATTATACAAGGATATTTGAAGGAGAGCGAGGAAATTTAAAAAATTTTATGATGTAATCAATCATAGAATTCTTTAAATTTTACGCATAATTAACGCACGATAACATACATTTGTTTATTATAATTCTATATAACAATCATATTATTTGTGTCAAGAACATAACGTTTCCCGTTTTGTGGTACAATCTCTAGAAATATTTCAGGACAGGAAACAGTCTGTGGTCTATCTTGATAAGGTCATATATTGACTCTCTCATCTTGGCAGCTAATAAAATATTATGAATATTAAAAAAATAATAACCGATCATTTTATTTCTCTCTCTTTCTCTCTCTCTCTCTTTCTCTCTCTCTCTCTCTCTCTCTCTCTCTCTCTCTCTTTCTCTCTCTCTCTCTCTCTGATTTGTATTTAAAATTAGTAAATTCTTATCAGTAGTATAACTCTTTAATAATTAATTAATAAAATTAATTTTTATTAGTACGAACGATATTGATGTAAGCGACAAGAGATTTAAAAAACAATTAACATTAACATTATTTATGTCAATCACAGAAACTGTTTCTATTAATTTATGATCTAAATAATATCTTTTCCTCAATGCAAAGAAAGATCCTACGTATGTGCAATTGCATAAATCGTCAGAAAAATTTATTAAAAATTTTTTTGTGGAAAATATTAGAAAAAATCTTTTTTAATTATAAATGAAAGTAAAAAATGACAATAGATATATAGCTATATTATTTTTAACGCAATGCTGCGAAAAATGATCTATAGTGCTCTCTGACGGACGATATGTTTATTTCGTTCTTATTTGTAGCAGTAGAAGATAATAAAATAGTAAAGCACTTTGTCGGTATTTGACTCAATTGATAAGTAGAAAATATATAATTAAATTTTTCAAGTTCCATCAATTATAATAATCAACCAACAATGATGTGCAAAAATTTGATTTTTATTATATATATGTATGTTATGTATATATGTACATGTATAAAAGACTTTTTGTAAAGTAGAATGATTTTTATTTTCTATTACTTTATTACAAATATTTATTTTTATTAATTAGTTTCACTTTGTTCCATAAATTTATTTATTACATAAACTTTGACAATATTTGCATAAATAAAAAAATTGATATCTTAAGAAATGTTAAGATATGTATTTTGTAGAAAAAATATTTCAGATAGAATTGCAATTATATATTTTTTTATTAATTAATTTATTCGTCATTGTTTTTTGTACAAAAGGATTAAAATAAAATCATTGAAAAATCATTGAAAAATATTTTAAATCACGAATTTTATTGTATATCTCTTATAAATGTGTATTTATTTCGTACAACGATGATGATGATTATTATTATGTCACAAATGTCAAAATATGAATTGAAATATGAATATCTTAAATTATATTATAAATTATTGTTTTTTTATGCGTTTCCAATTTTAATATTTTGATATATAAAATAGTAAGAAAAATCTATTTATTTAAAAAGTATATGTACTTTTGTTAAAAAAAATAAAGATGATTATTAAATTTTTAAGTGAATTTTAATTAAATATTAAGTAAAATTTTAAGTAAATTTTAATTAAAAGTTATCTAAAATAAAATCGATAATATAATTGTGGAATCTCTTTCAAAACTAAGCAGTTTTCATCACATCTTGCTGCATCTGAACACAGATTTTTTTATAAGATATATCTTAAAATTTATTGAGTGGCAATGTTTGATAATTGATCTTGTTTATTCCTTTCTCTAATTCTTTTTCTCTATATCTTGTTTATTCCTTTCTCTATTTATCTTGTTTATTCCTTTCTCTAATTCTTCTTCTCTATTAATAAAATATAATATAATAAAATTAATAAAATATAACAAAATTAATAAAATATAATATAATAAAATATATTAAAAAATTATAGTTGAAAAAGTTAATATCTATAATAATTTTTGTGAATGTAAAGCTTTTATATTAAAGTATTTTACTTGTAATTACGATAAAGATCGATGTAAGAGTTTTTCTTTCCAAATGACAGCCATGCCAGTAGAGGCCATGTCGTCGCGCTCCAATACATGAGTACCATTATAAAATTATAAAAAATCCTTACTATCGGTCCAATATATGGTAAAACTAAAAATATAACAAATAAATTGGATGTCGGAATAACATATTCGAATATCGGAAGCGATGAAATATCTGATTATTACTTGATACTTACAATACAATTTAAAAATGAGATCGCGGTATTTCATATTCAACCAACTATACCATCCAAGCGACACTTTATCTAAAGTATGAATGACTATATTACTTATACATATAAATATTATATATGAAGTTTGTGTATATATATATATATATATATATATATATATATCGATCCGGTATATGGTAAAACTAAAAATATAACAAATAAATTGGATGTCGGAATAACATATTCGAATATCGGAAGCGATAAAATATCTGATTGTATATCTATACTGATTGTATATATATATATATGTGTGTGTGTGTGTGTGTGTGTGTGTGTGTGTGTGTGTGTGTGTGTGTGTGTGTGGGTGTGTGTGTGTGTGTGTGTGTGTGTTTATGTATGTATATAATAACATATACATATATTGATCAAGTAAAATTGTCATACAGACATCATTCAGTTTAAAAAATTAATTTTTCTGAAATTAACACACTAATATTCTGCGTTTAACTCTTTAACTTGGGGAGTTTTAATTCTTTTTAATAAATAAATCTCAATAAGCAACAATCCTTTAATTGATAAATATTTGCATATATAATATCTAACTAATAAAATAATACTCGAGTTTTCTCTCTTACATTCAATATTACATAGCCGATAAGTAAATGCTAGCAAAGCATCTCTATTCAAAGTAATGTCCATATGCCCAATTCCATTTAATACAGTTGATATTGTATGATAAAAGTCCGGTGAAGCATTGTTCAAGTAATTCGCAAATATATTATTAATAGTCTTCTCACACAATTCACGGGTTTCCATTGCACTTTTGCGACATATATTTAATCTACAAATAAAAATAATAACAAATTAAAATATATCTCTATTAATTTTATAAACCATGTATATATATATATATATATATATATATATATATATAACTTTTTAAAGAAACTACATGACAGAACATTAGAGTTTAACATTTAAATTAATTTTATATAATAAAATTCATCCTTTAAAATTATTATCTATTACCTATCAGGAATTCCTATCATGTAACCTATCACACGCCAAAAATGATTAAATCCTTCTTCTTCTTTTAATTTATTACACGGACTGAAAGATTTAGTCACAATGAAAATGTATGCAACAAAAGCACATTGTGTAAGTGCCATATCTTTCTGAAGAATTCCTTCTAAACCCGCTCTCTTTGATATCTTGGTAGTTATATTATGTTTCCAGCGAATTATATTTATCGATTTATACCAACTGAAAATATATAATATATATATAATTATATATATATATATATATATATATATATATATATATAATATATTTTTTACAATCAAATTTTTTAAATATTTGATCAAAAGTTTAATTTGAGTACATTTTATTGTATTTTACATTTTACTACGATACAATATTATTTATAAATTAATAAAGAAATATCAAATGCTAATCTATTAAATTTTATATAATAAATTGAATTTCTTAATTTGTATATTCAGTTTTATTAATTAAAATTATTTTAAATTAGTAAATTATATTATTTTTGTTGTTTTTCCTTTGAGAAACATAAAAATCCAAATTTTACAAAAAAAAATTGCAATTTTCTTCGATATATAAAATAATAAATAATAATAAATATATTAAATAATAAAATATTGTGATAAAGATACGCATTAAAAAAGAACATTTCAGCAAAAAAACTTACTTAGAATATGGGTCACTTGGATCGCATATGATTGTGTTGAATACATGTAATTGCGATATAAGGTGTCTTTTGAAAGCCACGCAAGGCGTACTAGTTTGTTTTGTGCATTTCAACACCTATTAAAAAAAAAACATTTTTCATCATTTATTTACTAAATATTATTTCATTACATATTCTATTTAATAATAATAAATTATTAAACGTGTTGCAATTTATATATAATTTTATTCTTTATTAAGATTATTATTATTATTAATATTATTAAATATTAAATAATAATAAAAATAATAATAATAATAATAATAAAAATAATAATAATAAAAAAAATAATAATATTATTAATATTATTTAATATTAATATTATTAAATATAGAAAACACTGGGCATTTTACGAAAATGATCATTTCGATTATTTTTATAAATTTAGTGTATTATTAGTACCAAATTATTAGTATTAAATATTATTAGTATAAAATTTGAATACCTGCCGTATAGTTGGAATTGCTAAGATTGAAATAACGCCCATTATATAACTCATTTCTGCCAGTAACATATTTCGCTTGTAATAGTTTTGACCTCTAAAATTTAAATTTAAATTTATTTATAACTTATAAATTTAACGTGGACAATACTAGATTAATAATTGGATTCTAAATTATTAATAAATTCTTAATAATTCTAAATATCTTATTAATTTAATAATAAATTTATCACTAATAAAAATTAACTTATGTATATGTATAAAACAATTTATGTATTGTAGAATTTTATAAATTTTTTAATCTTCTAAAATTCTTGATTGACATATTATATGATATATTTATATTTATATTTATAAAAACATATTATTTGATATATTTATACTTATAAAAAAATAATACGAAAATGGAATTAATTTAATTATATTTTTAGTTTCGATTATTTGATTAATACGTCTTTAAATTTTTTTACGTCGAAAAGTGGTTAAAATATGAACAATATAATATTGTAATAAGTTCTTTATTTTATAAGTTACGAAGCAACGCGTAATGTATGTGTATGTCTTATACATTATAAAATTATATTATATTACGCATACGTGTGGTTGGCGCCTTACTATATATATATATATATATATATATATATATATATATATATATATATATATGATATATAATCAACTAAATCGTATGAAATTAAAGTGTTTTTCTTGTTGTTAGTTTTGTAGCATACTAATAAAACAATGTGTGAATCCGAATAAAAAAATAATATACATTTTCCATATATAAACCAATCATATAAACCAAATATAAATCATATAAACCAATCATATGCATTTTTCATGAATTCTAATATATAACATATCTAACATATATTTCAGTATGTTCTGTTATACATGATACTTACTCTTTAAATAATTTTTCATTATACCAATCTGGAAAATCATTAGCAGTTATATCAATTAGTTTTGGGTCGAGTATATTCTTATCCTCAACTATTAATTTGATATGCTCATCTACCGTTGATGTTTGAACTACAAAATAATAACATGTAAATGATTAGAGTCAATATAAATACAATATCGTATAAACATCTATATCTTTTCGCTTCTTATCGCTTTTGTTTGTTTCTATTATTGAACTCTAATAAGAGGTAAAAACGGAAAAAAGTAAAAAAATAGAAAATAAATATGTACAAGTATAATACAAATTTGATCTCAATGTCTTAAGACTTTAAAATTTGTGATATTTTTGTGTTGTAGAATTAAAAGGGATAATGTAGTTACAAAATTATAAAACTATTTTTAAAATTATTTTTTTCTCAGCATACACACACACACACATTGAGTTAACATACTCAATATTTTTTACTTTTTTCATATATGGCTATGTTTTGATCAATACTGTGCTGAGTTTTTTCTGTTGTAATAATAATTTAAATTTAAAAATATTTTTGACGATTTTGATCGTTCGTAATTTTTGATGAAATTACAATCTCTTTAAGTCGAATGATTATTCAAATTAAAATTTATTTCTGAATAAATATTAAGAAATGATAGGATAATAAATAATTTACAAGAAAAAAATATATAAAAATCGAAAAATATGATTTATAAAAAAATATTTCAAAGATTTTGATACTATTCTTACACGTACAACATTTTTTAGGTACATATTTAGACATATCTAAAAATTATTTTGCATAATTCATAATATTCGGGTATTTATCTGTTTTTTTAAATAACAAAAAAGATTTTCATGTATACTTTAATTAATTGATATGAATATATAGATAGAATTTTTTGAGAAGGATATTTAAAAAATGCAGAAAGAAAGAGCACATGAACTTCGGCCAATTCCGTCAGTGTGTTTTCATTATGTTTCATGATAATTCAATTTGATATCAGCAATATGATGAGTTACTTTTGCAGAACTGTGCATTAAATGCGCAGTTCGCTATTTACAGCGCAACTATATATCAGTCACATTGATATTTAAATATTCAGGTATCAAAATTTATTGAACAATATCAAGTGTAACTAAAGTTTTTGGAATACTTTATTGCGAATTGAAATTAATTTCAAGCATCTTCTCGCCTTATTCAGTAGTTTCTGTTAGATCTATCTTAGATATCTCTGTTAGATATAATCTACATATTCAAATATTAATACTATAATCGTTTTTAAGTGCATTTATTCTCTTAATTTAAAATATATATTATATGATGTTAACACAATATATTATAAATTATAAAATAACTTAATGTCGCTAGTCAAATAATCAAAGGATCATTGAAAAAAGTGTAGTCGACCAAACTAGCTAGAAATTTTGTTTATTAATACGACGTTTCGACCATATGGTTGTGGTCCTTATCAAGTATATACTGGAAAAGATTTATAAATAAATAAATTAATTTATTAACGATTTGAAGGGCTGTACCGTCTTTTGCGAAATAGTGGTTTTAACGTCGTCTACAAAATAACAAAAAAACTAAATAATTTAATTAGACGTGGTAAAGATAGCTTACACAATAATGACAAGACAAATGTTGTATACAAATTAAATTGTAAGGATTGTAATTTATCATACATTGGGCAAACAAAAAGACATTTACGTACGCGAGTGAAAGAACGTTGTAATAATATAAAGTTACATGAAACTAATCACTCGATCATTAGCAAACATAGATTGGAATCCGGACATGATTTTGACTGGTCGAAACCCAATATTTTGCGTAATGAAAAGTATGTTTGAAAGAGAGAAATCGCTGAGATGTTCTTTATCAAAAGATTTAATAATCTAATCTAATCAATCTACAGAAAGACACGGATAGTTTAAACAACATTTACGACAAAATAATAAAGGTCACGTAGTTTCGTTTTTCCTCTGGTTGTGTTTAGTATTAATAAACAAAATTTCTGGCTAGTTTGGTCGACTACACTTTTTTTCAACAATATATTATATAGTGCTTATACACGTTGATAATGTCTATAATGTATCTCACTTTTTTATCACCAACTAAAAATATATTATCCCTATAACTTAGTTCTTTTAAAGAAAGATATGAAGAATATGAAAAAATAAGTCTATTGAAAAATGACAACATATAATATGTTTAAACTTTTAAAATTTACATATATTTAAAATTAAAGAATTTCTTATAAAAAAATCTTTAACCTACCTATTTGCTTTAATTAATAGATTATTGTCTTACCGTCGTCAATATGTTTTATCTTCATCATGGTTTTGCGTTCTTTTATTTTAAAAATAATTAATTGATTACAACAATAATAAATTCCTTATGTCACAGGATAATTTTTTCAAGCTATGAATAAGATACGTCCTTACTATGCTACAACATGGTTCAATTATTTATATCGATTATGAGACTGATTTTGAAAACATAATTTTTGACACATACAGAGAATGAGAAAGAAAGTTACACAGTAATCTATAAGATACAGCAAAACAGATATAGCGGTATATTGTTGAAAGTCACATCACATACTGTAAAGTAGTTAAAAATTCTCGTTCTATTATATAATGTCTCTCCTCCTTCTATTATATAATGTCCCTCCTCTTTCTATTATATAGTGTCTCTCCTCTTTCTATTATATAATGTCTCCCCTCTTTTCGTTTTCGAATTTCCATTTTTAATTTACATGCGCAGAATAAAAACACGGAATAAAAACTCGTGTTATATTTGTTAAAAGAACACAAAAAGATTAGATGAAAAAACATGTTGATGACGATTTAAAACGATTTAAAACGGTAATTTACATTGATTAAGAAAATCTCATGTTAAATAAGCGATTGTTTTTAATCAATGTAAATCAATGTAAATTATCATTTTATTGTTGTCAATATGTTTTTTCTTCACCTTGTACTTTTTGCGTTTTTTTGAAAGGAATTATCTTGATTGTAAATCGTTAGATATGGAATTTTAATTTTAAAAATAAAGATATAGATTTTGAAATTAATTTTAAATAAAATGAAGTTTGTTAATATGTATTAATTATATTGTATATATATTTTATATATTTTATTATCTAGAAAAGAGAGATACTTGTAGTCATGTACATGAAAATGTACAATAAATATCTTGAAAAATATACAATGCACTAAACATCTTGAGATTAATCAAAGTAGATATAGGTAGATTAAGGATTTTTTATGAGAAATTCTTTAGTTTAAAATATATATAAATTATAAAATGTTTGAATTAATAATATCAGTATATATTTTTTCAGATATCATCACAAGACAAAAGAATAATTGAATCTTTGAATAATATAAAATTGAATTTGAATAATATAAAAATAGAAATTCGGTTTATAGAGAAACAGTTTTAGAATAAAATAAAAGGAAGAAATAAAAATTCTTTAATATAAGATAATACTTGAATGTGATTGATGGAACATAGAGAATTTTATTTAGAGAAATCTCTTTAATTCACATGTTCGTTGTTACTATTATATTTTATCATTATGTTAAAAACGAGAATATTTTTTCCATTGGTGAAATTAAATGAAAAGCATTATTATTGTTTTTGAAGATATTTATTGTATTGTGTATTTTGAAGATGTTTATTGTACATTTTCATGTACATGACTACATAAAGTATCTTTTTTAGACACAATGAAGTATAAAATACAATTAATATAATTAATACATATATTTTTAAGAAACTTTACTTTGTTTAAAATTAATCTCAAAATCAATATTTTTGTTTTTTAAATTTAAAGTTGCAATTCCATATCTAACGATCTACAATCAAGATAATTCCATTTCTTTTTTCTTAAGTATTTTTTGACTTATTTATTTACATTGAAGCTAATTCTATGCGGGAACATTAGTTTATTATTTTTTTATTGGTTTATTTTTTATTCATTATATTTTTGCATTATAAAATTAAATACATAATAATATTTAATATTTAATATTTATATTATATTAATAATACTTCATGTTTACACATTGTACACTGTTTCAACTAAATTTTTTAGTTTGAACATTAGCCTTTTTATTATTCTTTTAATTGATTTTTATCATTAAGCCTATATAATCTTTTACCATTTTAATAAAAGAAAAATTTTAATCACATATTACATATATTCTATTTATATTTATATTTAGGATATAAATTAATCCTGACATTTTTTTTTCCAAATTTTGCCCACGCAAGTACAGGGAATTTCTTCGACAAGAACGTTTTCAATAAGAAATAATTGTTGAGATACATTTTTATTACTATTCCGACATAGGGTATAACTGTAAAATAGAAAAGAAATTAGTTAGCATGTTATATATGTGTCAATACGATGAAATATAATACAAATCAATATAATATTTACGACACAATTTAATCATAAAATTCATATACTTTATGATTAACCAATTGTACCATCCAATAGGCTTCTTGTCTAAAATAAATAAATGCAAATTATTTTTACGTAAACAAAATTATATTTACTATTTATATATTACTAATTATATTTACTTTATTATATACATAAAATATTTATATTTTATTAAAATTTCACGTGAAATAAGAATATTTAAGAATAAGAATATTTTTGATAACGGCATTATCTGAATATCCAAGTCATTGTTCTATTTTTTGCTTAATATGTTATTAGTGATGTAATGGTGAAGAATAGTAATCGAAATAAGAAACTTATTTTTACACAATCGAATAAAAATTATATTTATTTTTTATCGATTACATATATAAAATATTTATTTTAAGAAAATATAAATATTTAAAAAGAAGAAATGGGGAATTATCTTCAGTAATAATTCGGAGAAATGATTTCAATAAAATAATATATTTTATCAAAATAAACATTGAATACTTACATTCAGTACCATGTACTTGATAAGTTAATATTAGCAGATGATCTTTATTTAGATCCAGATCAATATACCATAATGAGTTTATGATTGTTGATACTGTATGATCAAAATCAAATGAAACTTGATTCAAACTATTCATGAATACAGTTTTAACTATTTTCTGACATAATTCACGAGTTTCCGCTGCAGTCTTGCGACATATATTTAAACTGTGGATAATAATAAACAATTGAAATATAAGAACAAAAAGATTGTATATATGTAAAAGATAAAATATATATCTATTAGTTTTATCAAAGTTATATAAAAAGCTGTGTGTACATTATTCAATAAAAATTATCTTTTAATAGTATTATATATTTATTACTTATCGGGAATCCCGAGCATATAACCATTGACACGCCAGAAATGATTAAATGCTTCATCTTCTATCGGTTCACTACGTATTCCAAAATATTTAGGCGTCATGAGAATATATCCCACAAAACAGAATTGCGTGAGTACCATATCTCGTTGATAAATCGGTCCGACACCAGCATTTTTTGATCTATCGCTATTCGTTTTATGTTTCCAACGAATTACATTTATAGATTTGTACCAACTGTTAGATTTTAAAAATTTTAAGAAATTGTAAATATTAAATATATTTTTTTACATCTACAAGTTGTTTTATACACACACATCTTACAGCAATTACTCAAATATTAATATTGTGATGTAATATATATATTAGATATTAAATTAATCTAATAAATATTGCAGGGTGGAATTGATTATGAAGAGTTTCAAATGTTTACCTAGTTTTAAAAATTGTTTAAAATATTTCCTGTGTGTTGAGTTTAATTTTTAATTTATTTGATTAAAGTAAAATATATTATTTATTTGAAAATTTGAATAATTACAATACTTCTTTCTTTGCAAATTAACATGTAAATATTATTTGTCTATTAAATTTTAAACTAACTGATTACACATTTCTTAATTTATACTTACAATTAGTCATACTAATATAATATACAAATATAATTGAAAAATTATTACATTGCATTGTTTCTCTATAATCTACTTCACATTCAAAGAAAACGAAAATGAAAAATTAAAAATGGGAAGAATACTACGTAAATTATTATAGTAAATTATTAATATATATGTAACTGAAAATAATAAATATATAATTTTTATAAAATATTTATAAAATTTGCAGTTATACAATTCAAAATTTAAAAAAATAATAAATTATGTAAATTATTCGTGTTCAAGATGAACAACAGGTTTTAGTTGAAGCATTATATAAGCACATATAAAATCAACAAATAAAATGTACATGGAATAAATTTGCTATTTTTATTAAAAGGGTATTCACCTACATTTTAAGATAAGAAAATAAATATTATAAATTGTGCAAAATTTAAAAATAACATTTTATCAAAATCAAAATATCATTATTATAATTCTATACATATAGCTTTAGTGTTTCAATTAAAGAAACTTTCGTCAAATTAATTTATGAAATATTTTATAAAATATTTTATTTTTTTGTGTCTATAATAATCTACAAAATATATCACATACACACACATACACACGCACGCGCGCGCGCGTGTGTATTTTAAAATTTAGAATATTTAAAATAAAAGTAATCAAGGCTCTACTTATACAAAATTACAATTATAAAATTACAGTTATAAAGGGCTTGTAGAGCAAGAAAACAAGTATATTACAAAAGTTTAATTATATCAAGATGTACATCAAAATAAGTCTATATCGACGGTGACATTACAATAATACAGAAACGAGCAAAACATAGGTACGTTATTAAAGGCGAACGTTTCGATCGATTTTTCGATCCTCTTCAGCGCAATAATATAATGATAAATAAACAACGAGTGAAAATTAACGGAATAATGAGTTAAAATTATGGTCTAATGAAACGCATTAAATATGGTTGTCTGATAACGGCGCAATAAAATAATCGTCAATAAATAAAAGTCAATAAATAATTATATATATATGTTGATATATTTTGTAGAATATTTATATATGTATTTTTCTTTGCAAATTAATATAGATGACATAAATGTTATTTATGATCTATTAAATGGTGTCTATTAAACTTACATTTTTAAGACAAGAAAATAAATATTTTAAATTTTAAAATATAATAAAATACATTAAAAATACATTTAAAATACATTTAAAATAGACATTTACATGTTATTTATTTATCAATATGACTATTAAAAGTATAAGACTTAAAATACATTAAAAATACATTTAAAATAGACATTTACATGTTATTTATTTGTCAATATGACATTAAAAATACATTTAAAATACATTTAAAATAAACATTTACATGTTATTTATTTATCAATATGATTATTAAAAATATAAGACTTAAAAGTTTAAAATAATAAAAATTAACTACAAAAATAAGTAACTTTTAATTGTCTTTGATAAAATCTTACATATATTTATATATATTTGTGTTCTATAAAATAACTCAAATCTATTAAGATAATTTTTTATATCCGTTTTACTTATGCTATATAAATATAAAAATTACCTTGCATATAATTCACTTTATAAATATAAGAATGATTATATTTTAAATTTATAATTTATATTTACATACTTTTATTTAAGAGTTTTTCTTTAATTTAAAAAAAAT